AGAAAAAAGGGGAGGATATCAAGAGTGGGCGTTCATCGCTGAAATGGACGTTGCCTATCTAGTAATTGGACACCATCTGGTCACATTGGCAATGCCATTCGCGGCTGTACCAGATGAGTTCGTGGAGCGGTGACCTGCATGCAGAAACACAGGTGGGCGGCATTGGCTACGAAATGACAACAAGGTTTAGGGAAGAGAGTGTGATGCATATTCCTACTGTAAGGGATATAAATCCTCCTTCCCCACATACCCTCACAGGATGGAAACACGGCCCGGGCCAAAATCATGAATCCACTCCCGATAGAAGGTTTTCGTTGAGAAGTCTCAAACCCTAAACCCTAAGCCCGTTACCTCCACATTCACAACAGGCCACAAAGGCAATCACAGTACCTAAAGGTCCTAAACTCCATTCCCTCCCATCCACAACACTCACATCCTAAGAGAGAGTCCCATAACCCCCTTCTCTCTCTCTCTCTCTCTCTCTCTCTCTCTCTCTCTCTCTCTCTCTCTCTCTCTCTCTGTGTGTGTCTGTGTGTGTGTGTTTCTGTGTGTGTGTGTGTGTGTGTGTGTGTGTGTGTGTGTGTGTGTGTGTGTGAAAGAGAGAGAGAGAGAGCCGATACCCGGTTCCAGCCAGGGCCATTGACCTTTACCTAAGGCTCCACACTCCCGCCCTGTACCACCTGACCCCCTGCCCAGGAAGCACGTAAGGAACTTGCTTGTGACCAGGCACGCATGCACAGTTCACACAAATAAACACATCACCCGAGAGAGCAACTGCCTGATAGAATGCCAGGCAATAAGCCAGTCGTGTAAACATCAAAATAGTAGAGTGCAACAACGGAGGACTAGTCGTCCCCCAGTCCGAGCGATTAGTCAGTTAGTGAATCAAGACCAGTCGTTACCCCCAGGTGTTCCATGACCATCAAATCGATCGAGGCCCTGTCAACCGGGCGACCGGAAATGCCCAACAAGAACAGCCAGCAAGTACAAATGCCCAACAAGAAGGTAAGAACCGGGCGACCGGAAATGCAGCAGCGCCTATGTTATTGTAGCGAACACATGTACCCAGCTGATGGGAGAAACAGTACTTAGAATACATGCACAGCCTCTTCCTCAGGAATCGCCGCCGGCGTGATAAACGCTTCGCCGGGATTGATGTGCAAATAGAATGATTGGGCTTGGATGGTTGGAATGGAACCTTGTATTCCCCGGGACGCGGCAGGTCCGGGACCGGACAGGTTTGGGTTATGGGACACCCCTCCTCCCCCTCTCGGGCTGCCGAGGTTGACACCATCCGGAAGCGGCGAGTATTGCATTGGGGGATTGTAAGACCGCATGGAAACGGAGGAGCACGCCATCAACGAGGAGGAAGTCGACATCACAGTGGTGGTTGCCTTGTTGCCGATCACTCCCACTCCCAATCTCCCCCCTCYGGTGGCGCCTCTCTCTACGAGAGCTCGCTGTGTGGTTGCAGAACAAACTGCCACCGCAACCGATGAAGCGTCGSAGACTGAGAACGCCTGYGAKCTGCCACGAGGGGACAGAAGAATCGGGTCCGCGGAGAGAACACAGCTGCTAGTCGTAGASGACAGGTTGTCGATGGAGCRTGGCGAACGCACRTGAGCAGTGCGAGTSGCACTGCTCCACAAGGGTTCAGCCCGGTTAGAGGAATMGGAGACGGTGGAKCCTGGACMCTGGGAGAACATCGAAAAAGGAGGRAATGCCGCAAATGGGCCATTATGACTGCTTACGGACGACTCATGGCCAGCAGAGGGCTGCAGCACCCTACCCTCMACCCTTCCACTASTCAGGGACTCTGCTGCTGTCGCGCGACTCATGTCCGAGAGCAGAGACTTGAATCCAGTTTGCGAGAAGAGGGCTTCGGTAGGAGAAGTGAKTTCACCCGTTGAYGTCACCCCTCGAGGCGAAGACAACCCCAACCCGMCACCGATTGGATCTCTTCCTSGTGGGCAATAGCCCCAGATGTTACAWGCCAGRTTGTTGAGCGTCTGGTCCGCATCCAAGCTCTGCCGCCCGATATCGTTGAGAGTGTCATAGGGGCCGTGGATTGTAATTCCCAGAAGGCCTCCAGCAGATGTGCTSCCACGTCCACTTCTCATTCCCCGCCAAGCTGAACGATTGCCGCTSCCTACAGAACGTTGCGAGCCGTCGGCCGCTGTACCRGGCACTGTTGCRAMCTTCCGCTCAAGAAGAGGGGAGTCCCACTTYGAATCAYCRTAGACAGAAGGCGCCTTCGYGTCCGTACCAGCCCCTCCCCGGGCCCAAACGCTCAACCCACTCTCTCCCGCAGCCATGTCAATTGGCCCGGGATSTGCATGCGAAGAGGAGGAACTAGAGCTATTTGCGGCCGGAAGGAGGGCTGTCATTGAYGMAGGGGAAGACAAACCGCATGACACGGAAGGCGAMAGTGGAGGTTTATAAGGTCCAGTAGCCGGCAGATTGTACAGCAGAGGACCCGCACCTCCACCCCCACTTGTCGGCGAAGGAAGAGGGGAATACCTAGTTACACCAACTGTTCTGTGGGGCAGGTTGTAACTCACCCCGGAAGGAGTCCCAGGGGACAGACCTCCAGCATGAGGGACCTGCTTGTGGAGTTGGACATGAGCATACACTGAGGGCGAATTCACAGCCATCCCTGCCCCCCCACCCCTTCCCGCAAATTTGCCCTCTTCTCCTTTTTCAGATGTTGATGCCGATGGCACATTTGCATCCAGACTCATTCCCCCTCCTGCAGCGCCAGACGACGCTGCGTGTCCTGGCCCTGTCTTCTTCCCCGATGTAGCTCGTGTATTATGCCCATTCTGACAAACTTTCGCCGTCAAGGCAGCAACGCCACTACCCGTCGTCCACACTCCTCCGGCGGTTAATACACTGCCGCGGTCGTTTGGCATGCTCTCTGATCGGTTCACTGGCTTGTTGGAAGTAGTGGCGGTTCCTTCCAACGATGTCGAAGGAATCTGATCACCAGTATGCGCACTGATGGACCACCCCAGATTTCTCCCCTGTGGCACACTTCCAGGAGTGGACGCCTTTCTATCGACGCCACCGATATCAGGACGAAGAGGCGGAAGCTCGAGGGGGGCCAAACCTTCAGGTCCGCGCCGACCTCTAGACCGACCGCCTCCCGATCGTGAACTGCCACCCCCTTTACCCCCGTGATTAGCAACATGTGTGGCCCCCATAGAAGTGCTGCCTGGAGCTGAAGCAGTTCCAGTCCCATCAGAGGAAGTCCCAGCAACGCCTCCAAACCCACCGCCAGCCGGTGTCAACCAGCGAGGAGAACGACCCGGTGCAGTCGACTGCTGCCAAGCACCTCCTTGCACCGCATCGCTGGAAGAAACTGCGCCACCACGAGCGCTGGCCGCAGTATTCAACGTCAAGAGAGGGCCACCACGAGGACTATTTATCGGCGAGCCCGTTGCCCCACGGGGGCTGTTTGCAGCTGCGGGAGACGGCGGTGAACGAGGAGATGAAGGGCACACAGCATTGTTGGTACTCGCCGACGCCCCACGAGCAGCAGCAGCAGCAGACCCATCTCCTGATTTCTGCGATTCCACACTTTGCCGATGCTGCCTTCTTTTTCGCCTCCTCTCTCTTTCCCTCTCGGTCCCTGCCGCTGCTGACGAAGGTGGCCCGTCTGCTGATTTCTGGCACGCACCGTTGGCACTGCAACTCTTACCAGCTGTTTCAGATGCCGAAGAGGGAGTTGGTGGCGTTCCAAGAGGAGTGGACAACAGGTCAGACTGATCGGCTCCGGCAGCAGCACTCTCCTCCTCTGCACCCGAACCTGAGAACGTAAAAGAGTGGGTGGATGGCAATGACAGTTTCGAAGGAATTGACATGGGCACACTTCTCGAGGATGATGACTGCTTAAACTTCCCCGGCATCATTTCGGATGCTGTTTGCGATTGCAACAAGGATGATTGCCCCGCCGAGCCAGATGACATACTGTTGCAGGCATCACGGCACTGTGAATCTACTACATGGGACGCACCCGGAGCAACACCAGAACCAGCCAAGGCCTGGGAGGCCGCTCTGACAGAGCAAGAGGCAGAAAACGATGCAGTGGTGGTGGTACATGTGGCAAATGTTGTTGTGAATTGCGCAGCAGATGCCTCGGGCAACCCGGCAGAGAGGTGAGACGGCAATAATGAGGAACCTGACGACTTGTCTGCAGGTAGCGGGGATGCAGCTGCTGTTCTCCTTTGCAGGTTGGCAGCGGCAGCGGAACCTCCTACCTGTGAGAGTCTATTCATATCCTCAGGGCGAGAAGAAGAGGCAGCTGCGTACGGCGACGACGAGGATGAGGATCCAGACAGGCTTTGTCCCGGCCCTAATCTCAGAGTGGCATCAATCAGACTACTCGGAATTGCAAAAGCTCGACTCTGACCACCGTTCTCAGTCTGCTCATGGGAAGCGGGAGAGCAGGTGCCTTCATTGAGCGCCAATAATGTCCCACGGCTCGATGCAACGGCCACGCCGTGGGCAGAGTTCTCATTGCAGCTCACCACTGCCGACACCGTGCCACCCTGAACTGGAGCTGTGGCAGACACAGATGCAGGAGAAGAGCCGGCAGAGGCAGACGAAGCAGAAGACAAGTGAACGGACGCAACCCGATTCCCCACTGCCCCCTCAGCTACTAACGGCGGTCGAGGGGGTCCACCTGCCAACTGCACTGCAGACGATGTTCCGCGGCTGCCGCTCAGCGATTGGTGTGCGGAATCGCAGGGGCCAACGTGTGCGCTACTACCAAGCTGCCGTTGTTGCATTCGATGCTGCTGGTGCTGCTGCTGCTGATGATGATGATGATGATGATGGGAAGTCACTCCGCCCAAACCTTCATGATGATGACCCATGGACTGCGTCTGGTGCTGCTGCTGTGGCAAGGATTTCCGGGGAGCAGAGCTGTTGCCGCTGCTGCTGATGCTGCTGCTGGTGCTAGGGCTTGCGGCCCACCACTGAGGCATGCCTGACACCAACGACAGTGAGAGCACCTCCTTGAAGGCTGTCTCTTATACACATCTAGATGTGTATAAGAGACAGCCACTGAGGCATGCCTGACACCAACGACAGTGAGAGCACCTCCTTGAAGGAGAGAGAGACCAAGGCGACAAACACAACCACTACGAACCAAACGCAGTACTTTCGGTGAAGGGTCTCCACAGATACTCTGAAGTCCACATCACGTCGTAGTTTCCCGATTAGCTGGAAATCCATWGCCCCAACAGTCGTCATCACACGCAACGTCCTCTTCACAATGCCATCTGCTTGGTCGGGCTCGAAGGTGATGGAGATGACCGTAGACTCTCCAGGTTCCAGAACAAAACCCCCGGAGGAATCCACGCGGAAACTTGGTGCATGGCACGCCTTRACGGCAAGACTCTGCACCTCCAATCGCATGTTCCCCGTGTTCATGGCAATAAACTGCCTCTGCATCTTCAGAGGGGGAGTTGCTACCGCGGTTATGCCAGGCATGCTGCCACCRCCAGGCCGGGGCAAGCCCGTCGTCACATCCCCAACCAACACCCCCTCCCTGCGCTCCGGGTGTGAAAACGAGGAGTTCATCTCAAATCGGAGCTCTCGACTTGGAGATCCCCCATCACTATCAAAGAACAGCAGCTCTGCCATGCCTCCTTCGCCATAAAGAAATACACGCTCCAAGCGGGTCAAGTTATTCCTCAAGTACAGAACCCCCCTCACCTGCCTCAAGCTCGCTGGACGGTATGCCACGTGTCCGATATCAACTTCCGAATGAGGTGGAACGAGTGCCTCGGCAAACCTCGCACGCCCGACAGATGTTCCCGATCCTAGAAAGAAATCCCCCTCCTCCCCCGCTGCCACACTCCCGCCTCGCCGAGGTTGCTGTCCATCCCCCATCAACTCAGTTCGATCTGCACCACCCCCTTCCCGCCCTCCCCTCTCCTCCCTGACTCCTCTCCCGCCGCTGCTGCCGGCGGTGGTGTCCACCATCAGTTGCACATGCACATGGCGGTCACTCGGATTGCAGACTCGTATCCCTCTGACGGATTCGGAGCCGATCTGCACAAGGGAGAAGTTCATCCTCTTGAGCTGCAGGAGTTGCGGCCAGATGAGAGACGCACTGACCGGCACSAAGTGCTCTCTGACAACATCCGTGTGCAGCGTAAGGATTGCACTGACRTCATGTTCCTCTTGTGAAAAAATGGCCTGCCAGATATTCTCTCGTCTTCTGACCGCCTCCACATCCTCTCTGATGATCTGCTCCCAACCCCCAGATGCTCCACCACCTCCACCTCGGGCCCCACCTCTCAGAAAGGACCCTCCCCACCCTTTCTTACCTCCCGCCACCGCTCCACCCCCCGTCTCGCTTCCTGAATTTGCTACCCCGTTTRGCACCCCGCCATCGCCAGCACAGCAAAAACTGASCCCMGGTGCCGCTCCAGTTTCCTCGTCSGTCATGTAATTGTGCTTGTTCCCACCCAATGACGGATCGAAAACCAGAGACCCAATCTCCCGCCTCTCGTTGGGAAYCAGCGTCCTCACCGACAGTTCAGAAAAGAACCGCGGATCCGACGTCTCAATTCGAGAAATGGTYAGCGGTCTYGGGAAAGTGTTCATTGCCCACACCTTCTTCCTCACCATGTACCCAGGAAACGCCATACCGAAGGCCATTGGCGACGGAATTAGATGCAGCGAGCCGTGCAGACACTCGCAGCGCACCCTCACCTYTATCTTCTGATAYTTGGTAACAATTTGGAACTCCTCACTTAAGACCGCGGCTTTAGGTGATGCCACCTCCACCTCTACCTCCACCCTTGTCCCAGACGGAATCAGAAAAAGCGGTTGATGCCTTCCTGGCGCCGCAGCAACCCCAGGGTTACTGAGACTATCCAACCCTAATGCATGACCAGCTCCCACTCCGAAGACAATCCCTTCCCCCACGTCCTCGACCCCTCCATGCTCTTCTGCTCCCCTGCTTGCTGGGGCTTTCGTCCTCTCCGCCGCGTCCTCCTCTGCTTCCTTCACAGCAGCAGCAACTGTGGAAGGAGAAGGCCAGGCCCTAGATAATCCTCCTCCTCCTCCTCTTCCTTCGCAACTCCCATTCACGCCAAAGCACATCGTTTTGCCGTCCGGCAGTGCCACAAACACCCGCATCTCTGTGATTGGGACRTGTACGTGCAAGATGGGAACATCAATGGGAGCGGTGTTCATTATATTGAACCTGCCAAATCCGAAACCGCCCACCCCAATAGCCCCCAAGTCCATCTGCAGCTCCTCCTCCTCCTCGTCATGTCCCTGCTGCGAACCCTCCTCGGTCAAAACAGGGCCTCTGGTCAGAGCACCGAGAGGTACTGCGTGCGCGCCCACATCAGCATATGTTCCSCCTTCCACGCCTACYGCAGTGCCAATTAAGGAAGAATCAAGCAAAAAGTGCTGCTCTTGACGTAACTCGTCATGAGCCTGCTTGCCACCTTCGCTCCGCGATTTCGTTGGCGAGACAGTCAATCTGCCAGAATGGACGTAGAGGGGGACGCGGGCCTCCGCCAGGCTGGTCGATAAGATTAGCCATGAAACAGGAAGTACCCTGTACAAAGAAGAGCCTGGTCGCAGAGGAGAAGAAGAGGCACCGTCCGCGTCGCCATTCGAGCTCCTGGGGTGATGATGACGCTTCAGGTACCTAGCATCCGCCGCCTTTGCAGTAGCCCCAGGTCCCAGATTCAAGCCCAGACCCGACGAGGTATCGGTGGTACTGGGGGCGGCGGAGGCAGGTGTGGTGAGCATGAGCTCGATGGAGATGTTCCCCACAACTGCCCCCGGCACAACGTCTCGTGCAAAGGACGAAGACAAGATCCGGAAGCGCAGAGGGTCTTCAACAGACGCATTGAAAACTGAGACAGGAACGTGAAACCCGTTGACAAGGGAGAGATATCCAGAAACGACAATGTCTTGGCCAGAACCACGACCACCGCCACCTCCTCTTTCTTCCCCTGAACCGGGGGGGCACGTCTTCTGCTTTCCATCTGCACTCGCTTTCTTGGTGGCTGACGGCRATGGCGCCGACACCACGGATCCCTCTTCGGCTCCTTCAACTGCACCAACGGATGCCAGGATCGGATGACGTGGGAAATGTGAAGGGATTATGAAAGTTGATTGTTCGATAGAACAGAAAAGACCACCATGAACCACGCGAGCGCGATAAGCAACAGACAGAACGGGATTCCTTGTCTCATTCGTACGGATCAAGATCTTGCCCCAGCGCCATGRCCAGTCTTCAGCATCTGCCTGCTTGCCCAGGACACCGCCCACTACAGGAGACGGTGCTGAAGAAGGCACACTTTGTCCCCGCCCACGCCCCGGGCGTTGCACACGACCGCCTAATAAGGTTGACGTCGGCGATGGCGATTGGGATGTCGGCTCTATCCCGCCGTACGTCACCTGCGCAATCTCTGCCGTAGCTCCTGGAGACAGCAATTGTCCCGGATTGAACTTAAGCTCAAGCACATTGCAATCCTCCTCCTCCACGTAGACTTCCTCTACTGCAACRGATCTTCCTCCCTTCAGATTGGACAGAGCAATCGCCCGTGTCACAGGCCCACCATAGGCTTCCATGCTACTCAGCGTCCCGAAATCCACATCAGCACCTTCCCGACTTCCCCCACTCCCTCTTGGAAGATAGACACCTTCCTTGATTACCAATATATCCAACGGAACGATCAGCTTGAATGCCCCAACACCTGCAGCAGCTGCCGCACCCGCAGCACCCACTGCACCACTAGGAGGAGGAGGAGGAGATGGTACATGAGGAGCAACTGGAGATAGGACAATATGAACCTGCCCTTGTAACTTTCCCGCCAATTTCGCTGCTTGAACATGCACAAGGATAACTGTCCTACTGGCATGAGCTTGAATCTCCCATACTGATGCCGGYGCCCCCTCCTCCTCCTTCCTCYCCTCCCTCACCTGCTCCTCCTCCTCTCCTTTCCATCTCCGTTTCCTGTCCTCACCTCCATCTTGGCGATAACGTGAAGACRATGAAGAATCACCACCACCAGCACCAKCACCAGCAGGAGGAGAAGGAGGAGAAGGAGAAGGAGAAGAAGGTAAGGTCAGTCGTATGAAATCCTCTTGTGAGAAGATCTCAGTTACTCTCAGCGAACTTGAGMAGGGATTAAAAATCTCTAATGGAAGTTCAASAGTTTCATTGACGGGCAGACGGAGGCCGAGGTAGGGTCTGACACGATGAGGTGACGAGGTCCCGACTCCTGTCATGTCGACCAAGAATCCCCCGGCGCTAGTCTGCACTATCAGCGTGCCATTGGCGGGAATTTCTTCCCGGGGTAAGTACTCGATCGTCAGCGACAAACGTTGACCAGGAGCAATGCTAGATCTGCCAAAATCGGACGGATAAAATTGTACATTGTCAGACGACACCGATCGCACAAGCAGATCTGTGTCGTTCGACAAATTGGTGACGACGAGAGAGAGGGAGGAAGGCGTACAGAGCGGTTGCTCCCCCCAGTCAAGAAATGGCGGGAAAATGGACACATTTGGTGCCAACGAGGAGACCACCCCGCGAAATGTCGATCTCAGCGGGGTGGTGGCTATCATCAACTGCTCTCCGACCATCATCGCTGCCCCGATAGCCGCTGCCGACGATGACGAGAGAGAGGAAATAGAGGCGGCACCCGCCCCAGAGGACGAAGACGGCGAAGAAGAAKGCAAGGAAGTCGAAGYGGAGGAGGATAAGGAAGATGAAGAAGAGGGTAACCCCCCACCTCCTTCACCTCCATCACGTCCTCCTCGTTGTCCGTTCCTCCCAGCAACGGCAGCAGAGGCCGCCATCGCCGCATCCACTCCATGACGGGGATGGCCGTCCTTGTTGSCACTAAAAGAGGAGAGATCTGTCCRCTGCCCATCCCGATCGCTGCTCCCTGAACTTCTCTCCCATCTCTCCTGCTGGATGCCCTCGACATACACGTGGTGGCCCGATGACTCAGCRTCAATCAAGGGATGACGAGGCCATGTGGAGGAGGTGCCAGCTGTCCTCCTCCTACCACCACCCTCTCCCCCACCTCTATCATCACCATCATCATCATCATCATCACTATCCTCGCCATCGCCATCATGATTGACCACTGCCCTCCTAACAACCTGGCTTTCCTTTACGGGAAGAGCAGCATTACCAGTCAGGACCGCCGCTTCCTCTCCTCGTCTCCCGTCGCCGAATATCACTGCTGGCATGCAGCCCCTCTCCCCCTCGCCCCTCCCGCTTTCTTCCAAGCAATCATTAGGCAGCGGCCGATCTGCTCCAATCTTCTTGCAGTTCCCGCCCCTGACCCCRCCGCTGCCCCCATCGCTGCAAGTTGGTGCCGGCGGCAAAACTGACACCAGCCCTTCCTGCCCGACCAGACCCCCCCCATCACTACTCTCATCTGCAAAGACGAGACCRTTAGGTTCGGCGGGAAAATCTCCTTCCTGGAGTCTGCGACTACCAACGCCATGCCCACCACCCTCATCATCACGAAAGAGCAGATCATTAGCCTTGGCATCAAGGTCTTCATTTTTGGCGGGCCGATCTCCATCCTCGACGCTGATTGCCTTCACCAGGAGGCGCTGCTGCTCTTCTAGGCCACCTAGATACAACTGCTCCGCGATGGCACGTCTACGAGAACCCTTCGCCGCCTCCTGTCCCCCCTCCTCTTTCTCCTCGAGCACATTTACCCCATCAATCCCGACAYTGCCCCCTTCCTGAAGCTGAGCCGGCAATGCCACCGCCCCATGCTGCTGCTGATGGGCGGCGCCTTCCTTCCGGGACAGAGAGGGAGAGGGAGGAGGAGGAGGAGGAGAAGAGTCAGAAGAAGAGGGCGAGGAGGGAGGAGAGGAAGCAGGGGAGGGTGATGGCCTCACCCCCTTCTCCTTGCCGCCGATGACATCAACAGGTACTGTGGACAAAGTCCTCGGCCCATCACCACCTTCTCCCCCTCCTCCTCCTCCCGCTCCTCCGGCCTCCTTACAGAGCGAAGGAGCGGGACCACATAGTAATAGCACAACTACCCCACACCAAGCGACATGCAGCAGTAATGAGCAGATGCCCTTCCTCGCCTCCCTGCAGTAGAAAAAGCTGTATTGCAGCAAAAGACAAGCATTCAATATAAAGAAGCAAAGTCAAAAAAAAAAAAAAAAAGGAGCAGA